CAGTCTTCTTGCAGTCTAATACTCACAGACAGTAGTCCATATTGCGGTTTGATTAAGTGTACAACCCTATTTTTGATTAATTTATCCAAATTTTGCCCAATTCTGTTAGACAGTGAATTCCATTTTAATTAATAGATTCGGCAAGTCAGTCTGAGCTTTCCGCATCATGAGGGCCCTATTTTTGTCACCGAAATTCACAGGGCAATGAAGTGAATGATACATTCTGATATTATAAGAATTGTTTAAATCCACAAATTACGTTCTGAAAAGTTCCCACAGACAAATGCAAATCTCCAATATAAAATGTTCCAGGGTGTCATTTCAACTTAGTTGCAGTGAATTCACAGGCAAAGCCCTGAAGTTCTTCCCCAAAAGCTGAGGATAATTTCAGCCTCAGGGGTGCATCAACCTCAGCGCTGCAAGAAAAAATTCAAAGGCCCCACTCCACCAAAAATAAACAGGTAAATCTGAACAAGCCTGCGGCATGGTGGGAAATTTCATTTCCACTGAGGTGAATCTTGACTTGAGCTATACCGATCGAGGAAATAAAAATACCACAGTAGCAACTGGCTGTCAACAGAGGTATATATCTCCAAACGGCTGAGAAGTGTATTACATTGCAGCAGAAATGTAAGTATTGACTCAAATTTGGTGATGAAATGGTTTGGTAATGAGAAACAGGCATCAATCATTCATTTCATTGTCGCAGGTTCACCACTACTGGCGAGGAGCTGTGCACCTTCAGTAATCATTGGCTGCAAATTTGCCACAAAACAGCCACAAGTTTGTGACAAATCAACAGTTTTCTCAAGGATGCACATATTTTGCATGTTTTAAGTGAGCTTCTAAAGTATTTTCAAAAAGAGCAGTTGTGTACGCTGAAACATCTCTGATTAAATCATTCTCACAACTGCTGAATGTGCGTGTTCACAATCGTGCCACCACTATGTCAAACAGATGACTAGACATTTCTGCTGATTCTTATTACATTACTTAGATACACTCTAAAAAATGCTGGGTTAAATACAACCCAGTGCTGGGTAAAATATGGACAAACCCAGCGATTGGGTTGTTTTGACCCAGCGGTTGGGTTAAATGTTTAACTCAACCTTCTGGGTAGTAACCCAACCGCTGGGTCAAAACAACCCAATTGCTGGGTTTTTCCATATTTTACCCAGCACTGGGTTGTATTTAACCCAGCATTTTTTAGAGTGTATTCTTGAAACATCTCAAATTTAGATGGTGATTGTAAGATTTTATGTATTTTTTCAAAAGCATCAACTTTAAAATGGCATCATTTTAGTCTAATCGAGTTGAATGCCAGTAAAAATATCTTTAAAATCCTTAAAACAAGATATTTACAACTTATATTCAGAGAATATATCTTGTTTGTTTTAAATATTTATTTGCCAGTGGAATGTGTTAAAAACAAACTTCATTAAAGATACATTTTAGATGTTTTTGCTTTAAGATGTTTATTGCTTTTTTTAAGTATAAATCTTAAAACAAGAAGAAGAAAAAACAAGGGGATGAAAAAATGATTGTAAAAATATTTTCTGAAAAATTATTTTCACATATTTCATTTGAATATTTTATCATATTTTATTATACACCGCATACCAAAAATGTATCTTTTTAAAGAATTAATAGATTCATCCAAGGTATGCAAGGAGGAAAGCATCCAAAGTTGTATGAGGCCAACTACTGTGAGACATAATTAAAAAATATGAAGCAGTGCAGTATTGATTCACATCCAGTACAGATAGATGAGCTGTAGAGGTTTTAATTCATTTAAAGCATGACGCATTTGAAACAGGCAGCCTGAAGCCATAATCTTCCCCACTCAAGCGCTTGTCTGAACAGTGCATTTTAAAGACATTTCAACTGATTTCAAATCAACACTAATACAACATCATTACAGAAGTGGATTTATCAGTCAGTTCATATTTGCATCTAATATCAATATTTACCTGAGCTAGCACAACAGAGGTTTGGCTGTTAGGATCATGCTGGAAGATGTTGTAACTAAACTGTCTGGCTACAAAACATATCTTTCTCCATTGATGGCCCTTCAAAAGTACGTTTTTTTAAAGCAAAAAAATAAATTGTATCAATTTATTACACTTAAATATTTCGGCTTAAATTTAAGATTTATATATTTAAATAATACAATTAAAATGAATTAAATATTAATTAAATATTAATTATTAATTAAAATAATCCAAATGGATGGAAATTTTATATTCAGGTCAAATGCATTAATCTTAAATATAGTATAGCAGATGTTTTGCAAGTGATGATTATTTTAGGACTCATAGGCCTGGTTTCAAAGACAGGGCTTAGGTTAAACCAGGATTAGGCCATAGATCTAATTAGGACATTTATCTATCTTTTATAAATGTGCCTTAGAAAAAACATTACTGGTGTGCATCTTGAGACAAATCAATAGTACTAACCAGTGTTGGGGGTAACGCATTACAAGTAACGTTAGTTATGTAATCAGATTACTTTTTTAAAGTAACTAGTAAAGTAACACGTTACTTTTTAATTTACAAGAGAATATCTGAGTTACTTTTTCAAATAAGTGACGCACGTTACTTTTTTTTTTTCCAATTTATTAGAAGATGTTACTGTAGTTCTAAAATAAATATGAATATGCATTAATTCATCTCACTCACACACAAAAAAAAACACACTGTAAAAAATAGAACGAGCTATTTACTTAAAACAAATTATGGTAACAATATTACACATAATATTTTTGAGTAGTTTTTCCAGGCTTGATTTTTTTAATGGAATCTACCGGAATAAATCATGTGAAATCTCCTAAATTAATTCATCTATGACACAATGAATTTAATATAATTAGTGAAATGTGCTAATTTATTTTAAGTTGATTCTCAAAAGTCTGTGATTTTGAGTGAGGTCTGTTTGTATTTGACTTTGAGTTATTTCGTAAATTTAAAAGACTGTATACAGCCAAGCAGCTCAAGTAGGAACATATTTGAGAAATACTGAAAAGTATTGCACTAGCACAAACAACGCTACTGTTCAATGATCAACGCTTAATGCCTTCGAGGAGTAGTATCCATAACCATAAGCTCTACTCTTCTGCACAATGGTAACGATTGCACTGTGCAATGGAAACTTCAATGTAACAGAAACTCTTTCAAATGTCAAACATAACTGAACATTAAACATTAATAGATGTTTCCCTTCACTCAAAAACACATAAAATAGCATTTAATTTCAAAATGTACTCTCCATATCCAGCCATATGCAAAGTATGCTGGGAACTAACAATCACCTCTAAAATAAAACTGCAAAATTGAGGTAATTCTCTTAAAATAAATAGGTAGCCTTCTTTCCTTCATTTTGTTTAGTTTTAATCAGTTCCTCAATTCAAAACTGCTTAAGTTTCCTTTAAAAAAATGAGGAAAACGCATCTCTTGGTTTTATTAGTAAAAAAGTCCTCAATATTTTCTATGCAACACTGAATCACAATTTCTTTAATGAAATATACACAATATTTTTAATTATCATCTTAATTTTTTTAATGAAAATTACAAGACCCATGATTCATTTTTTACAGTGCAGATTCAGTATTCTTCTAAATGAATAAAAAAGAATGCAACTCAGAATATGACGCAAACCTGCAATATAATGCATTACTTTTAAAAGTAACTTTCCCCAACACTGGCACTAACATATTTTAAGATATGTCGGTGCAAGTTTCTGACAGTTAAAACAGAACAGACATGCATTTTAGTCTGGGACTATGCTTAAACCTTGTCTATGAAACCGGGGGTTAAAGGAATAGTTCTAGCTCAGTTGGTGACTGACTAAAAATAAGCAAATATGGCATAGGCTATTTTGCCCGTAAGTAATCTAGACTTTAATACCTTTAAAACGCTGTCAACTTGAGTAATTTAGAAATTTCATCTGGTCTGAAGAAATATATAGCTCAGTATCATCAACACAACAGTGGAAACTAATCCAGTGTTTTCTCATAGTATTTCCAAGAGGCAGCATATATATATATATATATATATAAACAGCAGAGGGCCTAACACAGATCCTTGCAGCACTCCATATTTTACAGCTGTAAGGTTGGATTCTTCCTCATTTACAGAGACACAATGGTAGCCATCAGATGGGTAGGATCTTAACAACCCAATTCCTGGAGGGCCAAGCCCTGCAGAGTTTAGTTCCAACCTTGCTCTAACAAATATACTATGTAGTTTTCAAACAAGCCTGAAGAAGCTAAACTCTGCAGGAACTGTGTTTTGCACCCCTGATCTAAACCATCTTAATGCCTGTTCCTGAATACTAATGTCATTCTGTAATCTATGTAATAGTATGTCATGATCTATGATGTCAAACACGGCACTAAAATCGATCTAAGCAGCGAAATGCAGCCTTAGTCAGATGCTAGAAACAAGTCATTTGTAACTTTACCAAGTGCAGTTTTAGACATTTTAGACAAAAATCTAATATTTTAAGCATAAATCATGTATCACATACTTTCAGGAAGTTCTGCACCAGCTGGGCAACTGCCATTGAGTTGAATAGGAATGCTACTGGATGGTTGAGGTATTACAGACCTCAAATTGTGAGCTGCCAAATTCAGAGCACTTTCCTTTATAGAAAGTTGAATTCTCACTATAGGACCCACTCTAACATGAAAGATGATTCAAGGGACTTACTTTGCCAAAGAAGTACATGTTCTACATTTCAAAAATAGACAGTGAGAGTCTTTGAGTAGAATCAATCATCATCCTCTAAGACACTTCAGTATTTTTATTATTTTCTGCAGCCGCTTCACCAGTGGCTCCATGTCAGACTGAGAGAACACCAATAACACAAATATTCCCTGTGAGTGCTTGTGCGTTTACTTAAAAGGGAAATGGTGCATTTCTCTTCTTTGCAAATAATAAGGATGATTTGAGAAATGCACCAAAGCGACTGAGAAAAACTGTATCTGAATATTATTGTTTCTTTTATGATACTGTGTATATATATATATATATATATATGTGGCAAAAGATAGGACCAATGTGTCCGAGACATTCTTTACCCAAAGAGTCAGATCTCCGTACATTTCAACAGTACAAATACAATCCCACATAAATACATCCTCCACTTCAGAAATCAAACAAACAATAACATTGACGAAAAACAACAGTAGGCAGTAACACTGACCCAATCTAAACCAATGGAACCAAAAAAATCCAACAATATGTTAGTGGACTGGTTTGATGGGCTCTGCACTGGGTGATGTTGATTCGCATGAAATAAAAGTGGCACCATGCAGATACACATGTGCTTTAACAATCTGAAAGCACTGATGAGACAGAAGGAACGGGGAACCACAAAGAGACAGAAACGAGAGATGACAGAAGCTTGACCAGGACACGGGGTTGAGGAGATCTCTACTGGAGGTCTGAGACTAGACAAGTTCAAGTGGTGGGCTTAGATTCAGTTCATATAAGATGGTTCGAATAGTGATGTAGCTTGTAGGTTTGCACTGTTAGATGGGCAGCTGGAACTTGACATCAACCTGGGCCTCTTTAGCCAATGATACAATTTCAGAGAGCTTTACAACCTAGAGAAAAAGAGAGAGAAAGGTATGGTAAATGTTTAACCTTTAATTATAATCAGCTTAATTATAACAGTGTCCTAAACGTTAATAGTAAAAAGCAAAAAGTGATGATTGTTGATTGTAAAAAAAAAACTCTACATAACGGTACATAAAAAAAAAAAACTGAATATGTTCTGCTTGGCTGTCGTGAACCGCTGTATGATCACTTCCACCATTCAGAGTGGAAAGACAAATTGCTTGTAGCAGGATATCCGGTTTTGTATAGTCATTGTATAGTAATAATGAGATTTGCTTTGATTCTATTTGATGCAAAGTTGTATGGACTGCAACATGTGCTTTCATTTTTCCTTTTGTACACTTTCCCTTTTTAAATGACACAGGTGCAATTTGTTACCCTTAGTTATTGGATTAGGTAGCATGAGTTAACAATTAACAGAATTTTTTTAACACAGCATTAATTAATCTAGATGAATTTATTCATAATTTATTTGTTTGATTGTTTGTTCGCTCGTAATACATTATTAAAGCCATTTATAATTTATACTTGAATGACGTATTATGTATTTATTTTTTATTTATAACTTGACATATTAAAATATGTAGAAATTTATATTATCCAAGTTTATTAAAAGCTGTAAAAGTATGTTTTATTGTTAGTTCATGAAACCTAAAGAATGAACTACTATTAATGAACTGAACCTTGTTGAAAAGTGTTGTAAAAACCATTTTTTCTTATGCATCTGAATTTTTATTCTTTATTTTCCAAAAAAGTGTAAATGTTGCTATTTCAAACATTACTGGCAGGTTGTGGGAAATTTTATCCTGTATCTCAAGAATAAGTGATATGGGTTTGGAACAACGATGGGTGACTAAATGATAACAGATTTTCATTTTTGGGTGAACAACTCCTTTAAAATCTCATATTTCTTTGGACTATCAATTTGATTCCTGAACCATGATGAGCAGATTCTTCTCACCATTTCCACCCTATGTCAGTTTGGATTTGCTCATATGCATGGATAAATAAGAGCAACGCACCATTTTGGCCGCCTCGTCCAGATCATCACAGGCCAGGATCTTCAGAGGGCTGGCAGCGATCAGAGCCTTGGCATCGTCTACTCTTGTTCCTGGAGATCAGACAAGCGTGATGAGAGTGAGATGAAGGACAGAAAACATGAGCCACCTGCACAAATACCCCTTTCCAGACACCTTTTTCTTTCTGTCACCCTTCTGTCAATGTTTCTTCTCTCCCAGACGTTCCAAGTCTTCCTGGGGGATTTGTGCTACCTTTTATTGATATAGATAGTACAGTGTTCCCAGTTTTTGACTAACGAATTTCCAGAACTTTTCCATGACCTTTCTAGTCATCTGTGTTTACTGGATAAGGATTTTCAATAATTCTTCAAATTCAGACTTCTCTTAAGAATTCAAAGAAGCATTCTGACCAATCTGTGAACTGGTTAACTGTTCTCTGAAAAAAAGAAACAAACAACTCCACATCATAATGGCTTGCAAGCAAGTTTTACTTTATACAAGAGCAACATCTAACTAATTACATAATTTTAAAGTAGTGTGTAACTAGAAAAATCTATTTTTACTATAGTAATTTCCATATGCCATTTCCCTTTTCCCAGGCCTTGAAAACAGTTTGAAAATATCCCCAAATATTTCCAGGTTTTCCCATGACCACAAGAACCTCTGATAAGCCTGATAAGTCCTATTCATGTGATTTTCTAAGGAAACCTGCTTGTTCTTAACTGATAATATGATCCAATTTTTCAGATCAGCACCCTTTTAAATAAAGTATGGGAACTGAAAATATTTTTAATGGGTTTCAAATCATCCCTCCACCTCTCCATTAATCAAAGTCATCCGCACCATCAATCATCACAGTATTAAGTTCGGTCTCTCTCACCTTGTAACCGCACTACGATGGGGATTTTCAGTTCTAAGTCAGTGACAGCCATAATAATACCCTGTGCGATGACATCACACCGCATGATGCCACCAAAGATGTTCACCAAAATAGCTTGGACCTGTTATAGAGAACACAGACAAACATTTTATGACATGAGAGGTGCAATAAAAAGAGCGGCAATAAACACAGAAGCCAATGTAATTCTTTTGATTATGACAATACCTTTTTATCAGACGTGATGAGCTTGAAGGCCTCCGTCACCTGCTGTGCAGTGGCTCCGCCTCCAACATCCAGGAAGTTAGCGGGTGTTCCACCATGCAGTTTAATGATGTCCATAGTTGCCATAGCAAGTCCAGCCCCATTGACTAAACACAGGTGACATCACATGTATAGATTTATACATACACATATTCAATATTCAAACTAATCAAAATGGTACAAATCATATCTAGTTTACTAAAAGCACAAAATGTAATATATAAAGGTCTTTAATTCTAATATATATATATATATATATATATATAAACGTAAATATATCAAGAATGCTGATATGTGGGTTTGGTTTTGAATCGTCCACTCAATGCTGTGATAACGTTTCTCTAATGGATGGTTGTGGGTTTTTTGGACTGACCCAGACAGCCAATAGTGCCATCTAGGCCAATGTAGTTGAGGTCTGCTTTGGCTGCCTGTCTGTCTCTGGTGTCCTCCTGGGTCCAGTCTCGCATGTCGAACACTTTCTTCTGTCTATAGGCAGCGTTTGAGTCAAAGTTGATCTTAGCGTCCATACACATCACTGCAAAGCACATAAGAAATCATCTATGAATGCATGAATCTATGAGCCTGTTATAGAGTATTACAGTGTTGGGTAGAGCTGCACAACATTGGAATAAACTGACATTGCATTTGTTTTTCTGCTATATTTACTGGATATGAAAAAAAAGACAGAAATTCCCACCAGATGACTTGAACAGCTCTATTTGATGCTATTATTCAATCTAAAATGATTGGGGGGATTTTGTTGAGGAGCACAGAAAATACAAAAAATTTTAAAAAGCTGAAAAATTACTATTTTTAGTTAGCATGAATTTCAGTGATTAGGGAAAACGTTTGCTGTTCACACTTCAGTATACTTTTTACTTAACTCAAATCTATTTCCATGACCATTAAGTGAACAGTTTTCTTTTTTACAAAATTCTTTCAACTCAAGTTTTCATAGGTCACATTCCCACTGTTTTTGACCTATTCAATATGACAATAAAACAATATTTTTTTTAAGTAATAATTTTATTGTGATTATTATTATATACAAAACAACAAATAAATTGTAATAAAACTATTGTACTCTAAAAAAACGTTAAAAAGTATTTAATAAAATAATTTTATTTTTATAGGCTTAGTGCAACTGTAAAATTACTAAGATATAATTTCTTTATTTACAAACGTTAAACCATCACATTTTTATTTTGGTTGTTTTTCGTCAAATTAATACAGCCTGTAGAGTCTTCAGAGTGGCACTGTGCAGTATATATTATAACAGTGTTTCATCATCTCAGAGTGGCTCAATTCACAGTAAACAAACCAATCTGCTCTGATATGCTGAAACAAACCCCACATCATGAGCTGCACACATGTAAACGAACACAGTGTCACGTTTAACTCTAAAACCCACAGTGCCAATAATTATTTGATTAAATCGCCTTATCCAAAAAGCCATTTCACAATACTGATATTATTTTCTGCAGCCCTAGGACTGGGTTCTTTAATGTATACATAATGATCTAAAGTGCAAGGTGTCTGCTTCAGGGTACCAATCCCAGATGAATCCTCCACCATTGGGTTGATCTCTACCATAGATGCATCATACTTGATGAACACATCATAAAGTTTCAACATGTTTTCTGCAGCTTCATTGATCAATGCAGGGGGGAAACCCATCTTCTCCGCCACCTGAGAGAGAGAGAGAAAAAAAAGAATAAAAACATTTTTCAAGCAGGGGTCAGTGTGGGAACTGTCTTGCAAAGCTATATAATACTCTGCACCTCACCTTAATAGCCTGATCCATCTTTATTCCCTCCATGATATCAATAGGCTCTTTCACAATGGCATCAGGATTCTCTGCAGCCACATCCTCAATGTTCACGCCTCCCTGAGAACTGCCAATCAGCACAGGGCCCTGTAGGGGGTGAAGCAGAACCTATGTGATCTTTTTAAGGGCAGGTGAAACCAGTAAATTGCTGACATTTCAGGTCACAACACAGTAAAAGTTTCCCTCTACTGGCCATTCTGCTTACTGCAGCATGTAGAGCGGCGATGTCATTTTTGAATGCTTGTAAAAAGACTTACTGTACTTGGATGCACACATATGCAAAGCAGTTTCATAGATAAACCACACAGTATTGACCTCTCACCTGGAAGGACCTCTCCATGGTGATGGCAAAATAATACTCTCTGCGTGGGTATCTGCGCTCGCAGATAAACACCTGGTTACAGAGTCATGTGGCACTGAAGACTGGAGTAATGATTGCTAAAAAAAAATTCAGCTTTGACATCACAGATATAAATTACATTTTAAAAGAAAACACACAAAAATATAATATTTCACAATATTACTGTTTTTATCTTTTTTTCTGGAATTAAGTGCTTTTTCATGATTGCTTTCAAAACAGCAGCATGAACGTTCTGATGAACCTCGTTTTGTGCTCCACAGAACATCTGTTATAGGGTTTAGACATCAAGAGGGTGAGTAAATACTGACAGAATTTTCAGCTTTGGGTGAACTAACCCTTTTAAAGTTGTACCATGTTGGAGCTCTGAAAAAGGGAAGTGCCCCACGGAACGTCATTAAACCGCTGATTTTACATTGTGAAACTATGGATATTTCCAACTTTGTCCATGTTGCAATTCTGCACATAAAATACTCCCACTTTTTGCAACCCTTAATGTACATTTCAGTGTATTTACCAGAAATGCAATGCACAGCAAATGATTATTCATTTGGAAACAGCAAGTTAAGGAGTGAAATCCAATTTTATGCTGATCTGAGACACACCTAGGTTCAAACTAATGGGTCAATTAAACCCATTCTCTAATGTTACATGTTTCTCAGTCTAAAGCTAGTTCCTCCATGTTTGTGACACCCTACCCTCCTTTATTCTAGCTAACAGCACTGCCTGTCCATCATGGGTCTGTGCAGGTGCTGCCTATATGCTGACAGTTAGATTAAAGGTTAGGGTAGCCACATTCTCCAGAGGTGGTGCAAATCTATGTTTAGACTGCAGTGTGTGTGAGAACAGCACAACAGCTGAAACACAAACACATAGCAAATTCCAGACCCTAACATAAGGTAATCTGGCTGTCCTGTTCAAAACACTGTAATCTGACCTATGTAAAAGCATTGGCAATGGTATTCCCTAAATTTATATATGCTGTGTTGAAATACTACTCAAGATCATTCCAATGTGAAAAATATGTAAACAGTGGAAAATACAACTGAGTCGGTGTGCATAATGTTATGGAACAGTTATGCAGCCTGCATCCCTTTGAGAATAAATATGACTTTCGAATGACTTTCCTCAATTAGTGTCCAGTGTATGTTCATGAGTTCTTACCGATCGTGCGGTGACTGACTGCCACACATACTCTTCAGAACATTAGATTCATCCGCGCTGGAGCACAACCCACGCAAATAGATAATTCCGCACACAGCTGCAATTCCAGGTTTTCAAACAGAGATGGCGACAAAGAGGCAAAACTTACGGACTGCAGCTTTAAGCAGATCTATTAAGTGCTTAATGTTTCCTCCACCTTGGCAAGATCTAGGTATGACTTTTGACAAGCTATAACAAAAAGACAACATTAGTAGTTTCTATAGTGTACATAATTTTAATAGTGCATGGTCAACAGTTATTTTTACACATTAATGATTCTTCCACCCTTTTCTCAAGATATCTCTAAATTTAAAACCATAAAAATGCACATTACTCTGTAAAATACAATAAAGAATGTTTTTGTTTATTATTGTTTATCATTTTTTTATCGAAAGGTTAGACGTCTCAGATGGTACTCCAAGTAAATTATTTAGGTCATAGGGATTAGGGTTGCAAAAAGATGGAAAATATCCAGTAAATTTCGGAAACATTGCAGAAATTTTGGAAACTTTCCAGGATTTTTTGGAATATTCCAGGGATTTTTTGAAAGCTTCTGGAAATTTTCCACCCCTTTGCAACCCTAATAGGGATTCATAAAGTTTGGACTACAACTATGTTTGTCCATTTTAACACGGTTTAAATACAATGTCCGAGGCTGTTCAAAATGGAAAACCCATCCTCAAACGTCCTGGAGTGGGACTTGGGATTCTTGTGACAGACTCCTCCAATCCAGGATGCGTCTTGTTAGGAAAAAGAAAAACCAAAGTTGGGAAAGGCACCTACCAGTTACCAGGAGGTCACATTGAATTCGGGTGAGTTCACTGTAACAAAAGTGCATCCGTGTGGCCTTTTACTGATGTTAACCATCCCAGTATCAAATTAGAAAGACATTTATGTTCCTCTATAATTCCTGCTTTATTCATGTTAACTTTTCTTATGTGCTAGTGCATTTAAACACATGGGTTGCATGTAAATTCATTTTAATTATCAGAGAAACTTGGGAGGAATGTGCCCAGAGAGAGGTGATGGAGGAAGCTGGCGTCCGACTGAAGAACATTCGCTTTGCATCCGTCATCAACTCCATCAGACTGGAGGAAAACTACCATTATGTCACAATCTTCATGCAGGGAGAACTGGACAGGTCTTTGTCAGCTGAACCGGTTAATTTGGAGCCAGAGAAGAATGAAGGTAAACCATTTCTTTGAATGTGTTGTTGCCTGTGTAGTCTCAGGCCCAGATGGCCCACCCACAGATCATTCATGATAGTGATAAAAATCTGTCATGTGAGACTATTGCCTGTCTCACGCCAACTTGGCAGTCACCATTACAACAGGTTTTAGCGGTTTTGAGCAAATATTAAAATGTTTTTTGAACACAGTGTAAAATAATGATGACATGGCTTTTTTTTTTTTAAAGCTTTAAAGGCTTAAATCCAATGTTTTTGTTGTTAAAATGAATAGATATATTTGACAAACTATTAATTAAGATGACATTAACATAGAATTAAAAGTGATCTACACACAAGAAATCTCTGCCCCAGCTTCAAAGTCTTGATCTTCTTGATTATATCCATCAACTGCAATCATACATTTTGACATAATCAGTTGGAGTGATATTCAGTTAATTGTAATAAGAACATATTTTAACTTTGAAAGAAACAGCAGTTTAAAAACAAACAATGACTGGTCACTTTATATTTTGTTTAGGCACACTTTTAATATCTAAATGGGTGCTTTTTGACCAGAATAAACACCAGTGTGGGCCAGACTATATGTCAATAGTCAAAACAATAGTATGGCAGCAAAAGTATCTGTAGATTTACTTGATATTTACATGTCATGCACTGTATAAAACCAAATCATCTGCTTTAGATTTCTATGGTGTACAGTATGTATGATTTATATGAGTAAGTAGTGACCAAGTATAAATTAGTTTATTTAGTATTAGACATCAATTTATTATATGAGTAGCTAATACTGAAAAATTAGTGATTCATTTTGAATTATTTGACTGTATTTGCCCAAATGGCAAGCAGCAGCAGTATTGCTGGAGTATTTCACTGAAAAGATTCAGATTCATTAATTATTTCTTTCTCAGGTTGGACATGGAGGCGGTGGGAGGATTTCCCCCCCGAAGAGCAGCTATTCTTGCCCTTAGCCAACCTGAGACAGCAGGACTTCCAGCCATTCAGAAAGGGTTAAAGGCGTTTCTGTAATTAAGACATCAACCTTATCACTCCCTGACTCACCTTAGGCCTTTTCTCACTCATTTTGAAGAGAGCTTTGACCTGTCGAAAGGACACACGCCCTGACCTTAAGTTGTGAGATTGACATACTGTACTTTCAAATTGACTGTAATGCATAATTAATTAATTACTTAATGTTATTCCAGCTTCTCAGTAGCCTAATGATTTTATTGAACACACATGTGTATTAAATTATATCTAAGGCTATTAAACTATTAGGTCTTATCAGTCAGATATTTATTTTGTACATGCCGGTAAAGTCTGTATTGAACATGTTATGGGTGATGTTATGTTCAAATATTTAGGTAACAGTTTACAATAAGGTCAGATTTGTTAACATTACTGAATGCATTAGGTATCCCAAGAGCAATACTTTTACAGTATTTAATTTTGCTTAAAGCTCATTTCTACATATACATTTTAACATTTCGAGTAATAAATTAACATGAACCTATAATGAATTGGATTATATTATTGAATTTAATATTATATGAATATTATATATGATATGAATTTAATTATATTAATAATGCATTGTATTTTATTGTAAAGTGTTACTAATATTTCGTCATAACTTCCTCAGGCATAACTTACTCTATCCGTTCCCACCAGACAACACCCTTTGTATTTGCAATACTACTGCAAGGATTTCATAACATATTATTTTTTCCACATAAATCTTACCTGCATTTAAATAAATATTACCTGGTAGGTTGGACAGTCTTTCTTTTTTTTAGAAACCACGCACCCTATCCGTGAACTGATTATTATATTATATTATATTATATTATATAATTTTATAGTATATTATATGTTGTGCGATCATGTAATATATTTATTACATTGAAAATATAACATTATTAAAACAAAACAAACGAAGTTATGTATATTTGGTGGAAACAGCGCCCCCTACCGTTCATTAATAAACATACAGTCTGAATCCGGTCGTCTCGAGCTAAATGCGCCACAGCAAGTTGATAAGCAGTGCAGTGTACAGAGAGGTCGTCGGCTTCGCCAAGCTTTCGCTATAGTTCGGTGAAAAAAGGCATAGACAAAACGAATTCCAGTTACACAATATGGTGAAACTCGCTTTCAACTCTGCTCTCGGACAGAAGGATTTAATAAAGGAGGAGAAGGATGAAGCTTTGATCCCTCAGGATGTGGTGAGTTTTGTTAGCACAAACGCTAACCGGCCATTGAGATTAAAAACAACGTTAATAGCAACGTTGCTTTTAGCCATTAAATTCTTAACGTGTTTATTTGTTGTAATGGTGGTCGGTCAGAGTGTATAGATAAACATGACAACATTAAATTAATACATAAATAAGTATTTTTTACAAAAATAAACAAAGTAAATAAAAACAGTTGATGTTTGACTGGAATATAGACGTTGTTTACATCAGTGTGACTGAAACACAGACAATGTTTGTTTGGGCTTTGTAAGGATTATAACGGTATTTTTTGTCTGATAGTTTTGTTTTTGTGTGTGTAGAGGGAAGCCATCTCCTGCCGTGTGTGTGTGTGTGTGTGTGTGTGTGTGTGTGTGAGAGAGAAAGAGAGTGAATGTCAGACGGTTTTGAGCTTACAGGAAAATGGCCGACAGTTCAACACAAACACCATGATATATACACAAAAATCTTATATTTTCCAAGATTCCTAATACATGCACATGCAATGTTCAGAAATATAAAAAATATTGCATTAAAAAATGCATGCACAAAGGTGTGTGTACAACCGCTAACCGGCCATTGAGATTAAAAACAACGTTAATAGCAACGTTGCTTTTAGCCATTAAATTCTTAACGTGTTTATTTGTTGTAATGGTGGTCGGTCAGAGTGTATAGATAAACATGACAACATTAAATTAATACATAAATAAGTATTTTTTACAAAAATAAACAAAGTAAATAAAAACAGTTGATGTTTGACTGGAATATAGACGTTGTTTACATCAGTGTGACTGAAACACAGACAATGTTTGTTTGGGCTTTGTAAGGATTATAACGGTATTTTTTGTCTGATAGTTTTGTTTTTGTGTGTGTAGAGGGAAGCCATCTCCTGCCGTGTGTGTGTGTGTGTGTGTGTGTGTGTGTGTGTGAGAGAGAAAGAGAGTGAATGTCAGACGGTTTTGAGCTTACAGGAAAATGGCCGACAGTTCAACACAAACACCATGATATATACACAAAAATCTTATATTTTCCAAGATTCCTAATACATGCACATGCAATGTTCAGAAATATAAAAAATATTGCATTAAAAAATGCATGCACAAAGGTGTGTGTGTGTATAATTATGCATTGCACTTTTAAATGCTTGTTCTAGCAGCCTGATGCATGTCTGTGCAGTCATTGCCGTATTTAAAATTAAACACAAGTTCATTTAAAATGAGATTTACATTTAAAGGTTTGTGAGTGTATAAATTTGTCCCTTGCACTTCCTGAATAGGTTGCAGTCGTAAACATAGTAAAATCAGGAAGAGGAAAGACATGTTTAGCCAGCTTATCGTGGGAGACTTTCATAATTGTGAGACCAGCTCCCACTCAGATGCATGTAACGTCTGGCTGCTTCTGTTCCTCAAATACGATCATCAGCTGCCACTGAGGATGAGTCAGCGCCTAGTGTGCGAATTGGGTTGATAATCAAGAAGAAGAGGTCGTGAATCATTCATAAAACACTGTTGTGTCTGCTGAAAATCTGCCACTGCTATCAGACCAACGGTGCAGCCTGATCTCACTGGCACTGTTTCAGCGTTTCGGAAGGAGAAATCGATTCAGAAGATTTCATGCATGGAGTAATGCTCCTTACCTTTAGACATGTCTAGCAATCAGAGACTCTAATACTTATCTAAATCGGTTAAAAGGTATCAATTCATCATGAGATAAGCTGAAAAGATCGTGCTGTGTGGTCTGAAATCCTCTGTCACACAGGTGATCAAAGCCTCACTGAACTTGTGGCTGGAGCCGACTACCAAAAACAGCCATCTTTGTTCCTTCGAAAAACTCCTGAAGGCTCTGGTTATTTAAACAAAGACGGTCTCTGTTAGCTAAGCTGTAATCTGCAGTGTGTGTGTCTGTGTGCATGAGGGTGTATTTGAAACAGCTGTGTTTGTGTGTAAAGTGTGAGTGAATCTTTGAAGCCTTTTGTTTTCAACTAATTTTTTTACAAACTCCACAACAGGAAGTGCATTCATGCAACCAGAACGCCACATGAACATAGGATAGTGATGCATTTGTGTATCGTTAAATAGATCGAAAGAAATCAAATCTAAAATGATAGAAAACGTAAATGTATTTAGCCGAACATTGCATTAGGATGATTTTGGATGTCTTTTCTGTAGTGCCTTCACCGATAATTAAAGTGTTGATTGGTGTCCTAGATTGTGGCAAACTTCAAAGAAAATCATTTGAATATATCTTTAAATATTTGCTTAATCAACATTTATAGTTTATGTAAAGGTTTTTTTTATTTTTAGGTTTTTGGACTTACTATATATATATATATGTATGTATGTGCACATACAATTTCATATTATACTTTATTTTAAGGTGTCATTGTTACAGTGTAATTACACAAATAAGTACTGAGTAGTATTAATTATAATATTAATGATATTATATTGTAATAAGGTCAGGGTTTGGTTTATGGTTAGCCTAGTTGCTTGTAATTATGCATAATGCACTGCTATTACTATAGTAAGTACATGTAGCATGTATAACAAGGACACTGTAAAATAAAATTGTGCCAAAAAATAATATACATACAGTGGTGGACAGTAACGGAGTAGTTTTACTTCGTTACTGTACTTAAGTACATTTTTCAAGTATCTGTACTTTACTGGAGTAGTTTTATTTTGAGTAACTTTTACTTTTACGTCACTACATTCCAAAGCATAAGATCGTACTTTTTACTTCACTACATTTCATAAAACATATCGTTACTCCTTATAATATATCACATGCTCTGACACGCAGAAGCGGTGTCTGATTCAAGAACGAACTGATTCTTTTCAATTAACCTTTTAAATCGGTTCGCAAATCGCACCAAACGATTCATTCACGAATTAGAATGAACCGATTGCAGCTGTTCTCGAGTCGACAACTCACTGATTCAAATGAACCGTTTAGTGCGAGTCTCCAGTGAACTGAATTCACAAGTAAGAACCGGGAGATGTTGTGAGCGCGCGCGCGTCTGATGCTGTTAAAAGTAAGTTACTAATGT